TTCTAAAGCAAATGTGCGCGGCGCTAAGGCGAGAGCCACATTTTGAAAGCGAGGGAGGACTCGTCCTCCCCCCTCTCCTCCTTCGCCTCCTCCTCCTCCTCCTCCTCCTCCTCCTCCTCCCCATCATCATCCTCCCCATCATCATCCTCCCCATCATCATCATCATCATCATCATCATCATCATCATCATCATCATCATCATCATCATCATCATCATCATCATCATCATCAGCATCAGCATCAGCATCAGCATCAGCATCAGCATCAGCATCCAGCATCCAGCATCAGCATCAGCATCAGCATCAGCACCATCACCATCAGAATCAGAATCAGAATCAGCATCAGCATCAGCATTAGCATTAGCATCAGCATCAGAGCATCATCATCATCATCATCAGCATCAGCATCAGCATCATCAGCATCATCAGCATCATCAGCATCATCATCATCATCATCATCATCATCATCATCATCATCATCATCCTCTGGGTGCCTGGATAACGCTTCCCGGCGTGGGAAGTTTGATCATTTGCCGAAAAGGGGGTCTTAATCACCTCCTGAGGTTGTGCCTGTGTACGCCACAGCTGCTGCTGCAACGACAGTTGTGTGCGCCACAACGCCGGTCTACACCGCAGCGCCTGCGTACACCACAGTGCACGCCTGGGCGCACCGCGGCACCAGTAGTGCCCGCATGCACCACAGGCCCTCGGCTGCCTGGGATCGCGCACTGGACGGGGCCAGGGCGTTACCGTTACGGAGGGGGGGGGGGCAGGGGGGGGGGGCGCAACATGTGTTATCCCTCGGGTGGGTAAAAAGATTGTCTCAAGGCCATCACAATCGGGATCCACATGGAGCCCCATCGCTGATGCATCGGCGATGCGGCGCGAGCCTCCGATCCAACCTGATCGGACCCCATTTGGGAGGCCTCTAGGGAAGGCAGGCCGCGAGAGGGAGGCCTGGCGGGGGCCCGCGGCAGACTGCAAGAAGCACCAGCAGCTGATCATGACGCTGGACGTCTGGGCACATAAGACGAAGCCAAAGGATAAAACCGAGTGAGGATAGATTGAGAATCTCTGAGAGCTGGCGGCCCTGGAGGATGTCTCGAGCGCCGTGGCCTTCTCAAGGCGATTCGGAACCCTCTGAGAGCGTTCTGGAACGCTCCGGACCGGCTCTATCCTCGTCCAAGCCCCGTCCGATCCGACAATTCCCCTCGAGGGGGGGAATCGGCGACCCATCGCCGATAGGTCGGCGATGGGCCCCTGATGGGCCCCGTACAGGTGGGGAAATCGGACACCGGTCGTTGATGAGTGGGCGATCGGGGGCCGATGCGCCCTCCCGAGCACATGCCCCCTGCACGTCTCTCAAAGGTTGTCGGGTCACAGCTCGGCTCGCAGCGGCCGTTCGGCACGATCTGGGCACCCCCGGAACGCCCTCGGTGAGCTGCAGCTCCCGAAACGCACCCCGATGTTATAAAGCCGCCGGAGGCCGGCAACACATGGTCGACCCACGAGCCCGGAAAGGAATATAGAGATGTAAGGCATGGCAACGTTTCGAAGACACCTGACTGGGCGACGGGCAAATGCAGTGCTGAAGTATCGGCCTGAATCTACCGTGCCGCGGGCTGTGCTGTTGCGTGCCGTGCTGAATTGCAATGTGCCATGCCGCGATTGTGCTCTGTAGCGTTGTGGATCGAGTCTCCTTTGCATCCGAGTCCTGACCGAACTGATCTGGATCTTGAGCTAGAGCTGTCTGAGCACATACTAGTAGCTGCCCCAGAGCTAATTGACAGGGGGACGGACATGCTAGGAGGACGCGCCGTGGAACGTCCCAAGGGACGCGCCAGGCGACGTGCCAGGGGAAGGGCCATGGGGACGCACCGCGGGACGTGCCAAAGGGACGCGCTACGGAATGTGCAAATGGACACGCCGCGGAACGTGCCAGGGGACGCGCCGCGCGACGTGCAAGGGGGACTCGCCACGGAACTTGCCAAGGAATGCGCCAACTTGAAATGCTAAGTGTATCGCTCTTGTTGTACCGTGCCGAAGGCTGTGCCGAGCTGCGCCGTGCTGAACTGCGGAGTGCCATGCCGCGATTGTGCTCTATAGTTCACGCTTGTCTCTCCCTGGGCCACGATCCCTCGTAAAGTAAAGTACGCTGCGTCCGCGCTCCCAGGGCCAAGATCCCTCGTAGATTACAATGCGTCCGCGCTCCCAGGGCCACGATCCATTGTGAATCACTCTGCGTCCGCGCTCCCAGGGCCGCGATCCATAGTAAACTGCGCTGCGTCCGCTCTCACTGGGCCACGATCCCTCTTAAATTACGCTGCGTCCGCGCTCCCAAGGCCGCGTTCCAGAGTGAAGTACGCTGTGTCCGCGCTCCCAAGGCCACGTTCCCCAATAAATTACGCTGCGTCCGCCCCCCCAAAGCCACGATCCCTAATAAATTACGCTGCGTCCGCGATCCCAGGGCCACGATCACTCGTAAAGTACGCTGCGTCCGCGCCCCCAAGGCCACCACGACCCTTTGCAAAATAGATTGCGTCCGCTCTCCCTGGGCCACGATCCGTCGTAGACTACGCTGCGTCCGCGATCCCAAGGTCACGATCCCTAGTAAAATACGCTCCGTCCGCTCTTCCTGGGCCACGGTCCCTCGTAGACTACGTTGCGTCCGCGCTCCCAAGGCCACGATACCTGTAAAGTACGCTGCGTCCGCGCTCCTTAGGCCACGATCCCACGTGAACTACGCTGCGTCCGCGCTCCCTGCGTCCGCTCTCGCTGGGCCGCGATCCTTTGAACAATACGCTGCGTCCGCGCTCCCAAGGCCACGCTCCATCGTAAATGACGTGGCGTCCGCACTCCGAGGGCCACGCTCCCCAGTAAATTACGCGGCGCCCGCGCTCCCGGGGGCACGACCCCGTGTGAATTACACGGCGTCCGCGTTCCCAAGGCTGCGCTCCATTGTCAATTACGCGGTGTCCGCACTCCGAGGGCCTTGCTCCCCAGTGAGTTACGCGGCGCCCGCGCTCCCAGCGCCGCGACGCCTAGAAAATCACGCGGCGTCCGCGCTCGCAAGGCCGCGATCCCTGGTAAATTACACGGCGCCCGCACTCCCAGTGCCACGACTCCTCGTAAATTGCACGGCGTCCGCACTCCCAGGGCCAGGATCCCTCGTAAACTACGCTGAGCTTGCGCACCCAAGGCCGCGCTCCCTTATAAATTACATTGGATTTGCGCTCCCAAGGCCACGATCCCTTGAAAAGTAAGCGGCATCCGCGCTCCTAGGGCCATGATCACTCGTAAATTACGCGGCGCTCCCAAAGCCGCGATCCCTCGTAAATTGCTCTGGATTTGCGCTCCCAACCCCCTGCGAAACGAGCGTTTCGCTCGAGACATCCCCAGAATTTCCGCGCGTAGGACGCGCCATCCTCGAGCGGGCACGCAAAACATCAAACTGCGTACATGTTTTATATCACGGTAGGTGCTCCAAACATTGTTTTTCTTTAGGTTTCTGCTAGAAATGCCCCGCATCTTTTTTTCAAAGGAAAACGGGTGTCTGCAGACCCCGTTATTTACCAAGGATCCGAGATGGGGGGCGCACTTTCCTCGAGCTGGCACGCGCGAAACATTTTTTCCACGCCGAATTGGACTGAACCTCGTGTTTTATCGAACGTAAATCCGACGGCCTCCGTCAAGCATGGCACCGGGGACAAATTACCATCCTAAAAGAAAACCCTGTGCCTCAGGAAAAAAACCCGAAAACCTCGGGCTTCGAACCTCGAGAGGGTGTGGGGGGGGGGCGATGCTATACAGCCGCCGAGGGCCGACAAAAACGCGCGAAAACCGCGGGTCTCGAGTCTCGAGGGGAGAGGAGGGTGAAAGCGGGCCGCGGAAGTGTCGAGTAGGGAAGGTCGACTACAGCATGGATTGGGGTAAACTTGACGTCCCCGTCGAATCTGCGTGCTGTTCGTAGAACTCCGCGGGGAAATCAAATCTTGGGATAAATCAATTCTGTAGTTAATGGCCTAAACTGATCTGCCGAATCTGCGTATTGTTCGAAGAATCCCGTGGGGAAGCCACTCTTGGGGTAAATCAATTCTGTAGTCGCCCTCCAGGCGGCCTCCGAAGCTGCCAAGACGCCCCAAAAGGCCCCCAACATGCGCCCCAAAAGGGTCCCAAGAAACAGAAATCGTCCCATTCCCTTTCGAAAAAACAAGCATTTTTCGCATGCTCGCCTTTTCGGTTTTCACAACGTCCCAGACGGGCAAAAAAAAACCTTCAATATCGCCCCCAGACGGCCAAAGGGGCCCCCAAGAAGGGTCGAAGAGGGTCCAAGAACAGCCCCCGAAGCCCCCAAGACAGCCCAAGAAGGCCCCCAGACGGCCCCAAGACGACACCTGTTCGAGCCTTCGGCCCCAAGACGCCCCCAGCCTGCCCCAAGAACAGCCCAAGAGGCCCTGAGGGACCCCCAAAAGAACATCAAAGGCCTCCAAGAAGCCCCCAGGAAGCCCCAAAGAGGCCCCAACACTTGGCCCAAGATGCTTCGAGGCGGCCGGATGTGGCCTGCAGACAGGCCAAGATGCCACCAAAAGGCCACAAAAGAGCACCAAGAGGTACGATAACAACAACGAAGCCACAGGAACGATGTCGAGCGCCGTGTCATGATTCGGACAAGCCTCGTGAAATGCAGTCCTGGAGGCGCAGTACTTTATATAGGGGTCGGCGGATGTGGCGTAAGCCTATATAATCAATTCTGTAGTCGCTCCCCTACTCGAATAGAGACCAGTCTAGATGGGGCCGGAGTGGATGGGTTCGGAGGACCGCGCCGCACCGCCGATTCATCGCCGATGCATCGCCGGCATCGGCGATGCATCGGCCACGACGACGTGAAGCAAATCGGGCTGCCCATCGAGCCGCACCGGCGATGCATCGGCGATGCGGCGCGATCCTCCGACCCCACCCGCGGAGGCCCAGATCGAGAGGGGGAGCCCTCGGGCGGCCCGCCTCGGCCTCCGAGGGACCCGTCAGCAGGCCCTGCAGGCGCGGCAGCTCCTGGGGGCGAGGCCGCCGCGGCGCGCGCGCGCGCGGGGACGACGCGGGGCCCACCGCCGATAGGTCGGCGATGGGGACGAAGGCAGAGGGAGAGAGAGCAGGGGATTGGGGTTCCCAGCCCCCCCGCGCCTCTCCCCACCCACCCCCTGCCGCAGCCCCCTGCCTGTGACGCCCTGCGCCTCCTCCTGATCCCCCTTATACCCTTCTGCTCCCTCCCCCCCAGACCACCCTCCCGCCTGCCCTTCACCAACCCCCTCCACTGCCGACCTCCTGCGCGGCCCCCCTTTTCCCCATCCCCCACTCCTCCTTCCGCACCCGCTCCTTCTCCTGCGCGTCCACCAGCCCTTTTCCCTCGATCTGCTGAGCGAGAGGGGCTGGGCGCGCGCGCACCTGAGAGGGGCGCGGCGCGCCCGAGCCGCGGCGAGGGGTCATGGCCTGCTGATGAGACTGCTGGTGCCCAGCGCGGCGATCCACGAGGCCTGCATCGGCACGGTCCTTGGGCAGCTCGAGGCCCAGTTCAGCGGCCGGCGGCCAGTCGGAGCTGGAGGTCGTGTTCACCCATGAGGAGGAGTTGTTACAATGCCCGTGAGGGAAGAACGTGTTTAACATGAAGGTCGCGGAGCGGTGGCTTCAGAGGCCAGCGGCTCAATCCTCGACCCCCACACTCAGCCGTGGAGGAAAGCAGCAGCCTCCTCTTCCGCCTCAAGGCCTGGCTCTGGGGGCGCCCCTTGCACCCCTTGGAGGAGGAGAAAGAGGAGGAGAAGGAGGAGGAGGAGGAGGAAGAGGAGGAGAAGGAGGAGGAGGAAGAGGAGGAGGCCGCCCTTCGGCGCACCCGCTGGCGGAGGCGGCCGCGGCGGGAACTGCCGCCGCGGCGCCGCCACCTGCGGCGCGCCGCCCCTGCCCTGGTGCTGACACGGCATTGTTCTAATACATGGGATATTTTAGAAACATATGATGTTCAATTGAGGATTAATGTATGAAGGAACTCATCGTTGTTTTTAATACTAAATCCCTGCATGTTTAATGCATGAACCGCACGCGGAGCATGTATTCAAAACGGCACTGTACCCTTGGCACCGTTGGCAACGCTCTCGCCGTAGGGATCCCACTGCTGCCGCTGCCACGGCGCTCTTGAACACCAGATCTCGGTAAGTCTGGCCAGCCCACTTAGCAGAGCAAACCACAATCACATAAAAAGTGATGCGTGCGCGCTGAATGGTATGAACCACTCAGCCAATACTTACTGGCGGGGGGTAATCGCATGTTCAATGCCGTGGCGGCGCCACGATCAACCTAAGCAACAGAGAACTCCTCGGCACAGGCACTGCAATACCTTCAGGAACGGCACTCGGCAAACAAGCATCGTTATATCATGGAACACCAAGGGATCAACAGACGACGGAGCAATTGCCAACATACCCCGACTGCACAGTCAGTCTGGGCCCAACAAGCAAGAATCGTCCCATTCCCTTCGGGAAACATACATGTTTCACATGTGCGACGTTTGGGGGTTCGCAGGGTCCAGAACTGCCCCAGAGGCCTCCTCAATCGTCCCCAGACGGCCCAACGCGCCACCAAAATGCGCCCAAGAGAACCCCAGAAGGCTCCAAGAGAAGACGGCCGAAGAGGGCCCCAAAACGGCCTCGAGAGGAACCCACAAAGGGGACCAGGAACCGAAAAGTCCAGCCTTCAGCCACGAGAGGCCCCCAGGAGGCCCCAAGAGACCACCATGAGGTCCCAAGGGGCCCCCAAAAGGTACCCCCAAAAACCCCAAGGGGCCCCCAAGCGGCCCCAACACGGCCCCCAAGAGGCTTCAAAACTGCCTCCCAAAGGCCCCCGACAGGCCCACCACGAGAGCTCAACCAACATCCATGCGGCCTTTTGACCCACCACCCGCCGCCTCCGAACAATGGCAGCCGCCCAACGGCACCGCACTGACAACAGCACCCCGACAAACGACAGCGGCGAGGCAACGTGGGCCGGCGGAATGAGCGAAACGATGAAATAAAACGATTTGAGCCTCGGTCGCGCGATCCCTGCATTTTGGCCAAGGGAGTCCGAATCATGATCCCTTGGAACGTCAAGGAAGGCACAAACAGAATAGTTGGGTTGAGTGCCCGAACCCTCCACATGTTTGATGTACGAGCACATTTCTCCACCTGCCCGGAAAAAGGCCCTGCAACAAGCTGGAGGGGCAACAGCTTTTGAACAGATACCTGTACCAGGAGCTGCGTCGAGACAAACACTTTTTCCGTCAGCGGCGAGGCGGAGAACCCCGCTCCAACGAGAAGCTGGAACAAAGGGGCACTAACTAACGACCGAGAGGAAGAAGGGACGCTCAGACGACCAAGAGTTCGACGATGACAGGCACAGGCGGGCAAAGAGGGGGGGGTACGGCCGAGAGGAAGAGGGACGCTCAGACGACGACGAGTGCGTCGATGACAGGTATAGGCGTCGCGACAAACACGGCAATACAACCAAGTACTACACGGCCATCGCACTGCCATAAGGAGGGCCAACTCAGGAACGGATTGGCTCTGATCGCCACGGCGAGCCTCGGCCACGAGAAGAGCTCAGCCTCGGCCACAGGAAGAGCTTCGGCTCGACAACAGGCGCTCCTTCTGAACGCAGCACTGCCCTCGCTTCAGCTCGGAGGCGGCTGAGGGGTCCGCGCTGGAGAGGTCCAACAAGGAGTTCGGTCCAGCGGGAGGGATGATCCCTTTTTCCGTCCGCGGCGGGGCGGCGAGCGCCGCTCCAGCGAGAAGCGAAAGAGGGGCACCAACTAGCGAAGAAGGGAGTGAGGAACGCACGTTGGCTCCAAATCTGCCCCCGGGCCCCTCCCGGGGTCTAAACTGGCCAGCTGTCCCAGCGAAGACCCCAGACGTGGCAACGAGGGGACCACTGTCTTCAAGTCGGGCTTGTCCCCCTACAGGGGAATTTTCGACGAAAAATAGAGCATACACCACAAATAGTCCAACAATAATCCAAAAATAGTCTGGGGACTATTTTTTGAGTATGTTTTGACCTTTGTGGGATATTTTCATTTTCCGTCGAAAATCCCCCTGTAAGGGGACACGCCCGACATAACACTGTCTTTATCCCTCCCTCCTGCTGGTCGGGACCAATAAGGGGCCACCTCAGCCCCAGAGCCGGCTCAAACTTTCAGCACCCTGCCTTTAAGTCGGGCGTGTCCCCCTACAAGGGGATTTTGGGCGAAAAATGACAAATACCCAACAAATACTCCAAAATTGTAAAAAATGCCCCAAAAATAATACCCAGACTATTTTTGGACTCTTGTTTGGCTATTTTGGAGGTGTTTTTTGTTTTTCGTTGAAAATCCCCCTGTGGGGGGACAGGCCCGACTTAACCCTGCCTGTCCCAGCCCGGCGATCGACAAAATGCGCCGACCTCTCCGCACCCGTAGCGCCGCACGGTGCTCCTTCTCGCTGCAGAGGCTCCGCAGCAGAGCCACGACCGCGGGGTCGTAGTCCACCTCGCGGCGCGCTGTCCGCTGGTGTTGGGCCTCCTCAGAAGGGCCCCGAAGCTCCTCAGGACAGGGCTGAACCTAAACAATGTTTTCCGTATTCGTTTTGTTTTCGTTTTCCCTAGCTTTTGCTTCGAATCCGCCTTTACCGCAAAACGAAATCGAAACGAAAACCGCCCACGAAATCACCAAAAACACCGTTTAGGTCCAGCCCTGCCTCAGGAACTCCCTTGGACGCCGGGAGTTTCGTTGAGGAATATTTCCCAACGTCGACCCAAACACGAAAGCAACCACGTCAGCAAAGTCGACAGAGGTCTCCGAAAACACAATATCCTTATGACCAGGTGAAACCCTCATGCTGAACCAGGTTGGTGGAAACCTATGTTTTTTTGGAGGAGCAGGAGATGGGAGCGGACAGCGATAATATACACAACTCGCCTCCCCAAGCGTGCTGGCGAGGTTGATAGAAACCTGTATGAACATGAGCTGTCGGAGGTCCGCGCAGATTTCTTGGATCGGTGCTGGACACCCCTCCCTGGCGCGCGGATCGCGCCAGCGGCGGCGCTGGCAACGCCGCCAGGGGGGCCCAGCGCCGATCCCAAAAATCCGCGCGGAGCTCTGACAACTTATGTTTGTGCCCTTACGTTTCCTTAGTCGACTTCTGAGAACCCCCTGCTGTCTCTCTCGGGGGTGGACGGGAACACCCTTACGCAAGACTGCAGGCCTCCCAGATGAGGTCCGAGCAAATCGGGTCTGAAGATCGCGCCTCATCGCCGATGCACCAGCGATGTATCGGCGATGCATCGGCGACTCTGGCGGTGCATCGGTGACGTCGGCGCGTAGAAAATCGAGCTCAACATCGAGCCGCATCGGGGATGCGGCGCGATCCTCCGACCCCGTCTTGGGGAAACCGAACGGTACCGATACCGCAACTCCCCAGACCTCTCCCGGGGTGCGCTCTGACCAAACACTCGAGGCGAATTCAGCGGTGGCGACGAGGGCCTCCCAGGAGGCCCCAAAAGAAGAAGAGAACGAGAGAAGGGTACAAATACGGGTACGCTTTCCTCCGCCGACTCCACCTCCATCTTGGGGACACCAAAAGGTACCCATACCGCTACTCCCCGGACCTCTCGCGGGGTGCGTTCGGACCAGGATTCCGAGGCGAATGCAGCGGTGGCGACGATGGAGGCCAAGGAGGCCCAACAAGGGGAAACCGAGGGGAGGGTAGAGGTATGGGTACCTCTTCCTCCTCTGACACCCGGGAGGTCTCAAGCAAGAATAGGGGAACAAAGGGTGACATAAACATAAAAACTCGGAGGTCCGCGCGGATTTCTCGGATCGGCGCTGGACCCCCCTCCCTGGCGCGCGGGGCGCGCCAGGGGCGGCGCCGGAGGCGCCGCTGGGGGGCCCCAGCGCCAATCCGAGAAATCCGCGCGGCCCTCCGAGTTGTTATGCTTATGCCACTTGTTGTTCCCCTAGGTATGGGCACTTCTTCCTAAAACAGGGCGCTCCAGAGCGTTCATGAGCGCTCTCAGAGCGTTCCGGAATGCTCTGGAGCGGCCGCGGCGCCCACTACATCCTCCAAACCCGCCGACTCTCAGAGATTTCGAGGTATCCCGATCCGAGTTTGTCCCGATCTTCGCGTCGTTTTACTTCCTCCTCTGACACCTGGGAGGTCTCAAGCAAGGTACCCCACGTTGTGAACGCAGCCCGGGGGGACATGCAGGAGGACATGCAGGAGGAGGAGGAGGAGGAGGAGGAGGAGGAGGAGGAGAAGGAGGAGGAGGAGGAGGGGGAAGAAGAGGAGGAGGAGGAGCAGGAGGAGGAGGAGGAGCAGGAGGAGGAGGCGGCGGCCGAGGAGGGCGGCCGCCCCGCAGCAGGTGGCGGCTCGCGCGCGGGCCCCGCGGGCGGATTTTGCGAGATCGCCCGGGCAGCCGGAAGGCGCCCAGGGAGACACGCAGAAATATGAAGGGGCCCCGGGACACACAAATAAATAGACACAAATAACAATGTTCCCTATATTTTCCCATATGTTTTGGATGTCTGTCTTCCCCCCCCCCACACTTCCCATATTTTCCCATATTTTCAGGAGAATCGACGATTAATTGTGTCTGTGTGTTTTTTCCCCTCCTGAAAATAGACACAGACCTTAGGCTAGGTCGGGCCTGTCCCCCTACAGGGGGGATGTTGGACGAAAAATCGAGAATAGCAAAAAACAATGCTCAAACAGAATCGAAGATGGTAGAAAAATCGTCCCCATACTGTTTGTTGACTATTTTTGAAAACTCATGCTGTAGAGGGACAGGCCCGACACAAATCTTAGGCTCCCCATATCTTTGCATGTTTTCGGGATGCTCATCCTCCCTTCCATGCCCAATCTGTGCCCACATGCTCTTGCAAAACGACGCTGCGTTGTGTCAGTGTCTACCTTCCCCTCCTCCTCCTCCTCCTCCTCCTCCTCCTCCTCCTCCTCCTCCTCCTCCTCCTCCTGTTCAGCCCTTAGCAGGCGCCAGCTCCCGTGGCCAGCCGCCAACCCCCTGCCTCGGCAAAGGATGGCCCCGAGGCCTGGCCCCCGAGCGCGCCCCTGCCAGGACCGTGGGCCGGCTCCGCCGCGCGGAGGCCAGCCCTCCGGCCCAAGAGGGCGAAGAGCTCCCGAGAACCTCGGCCCTCGAACCTCGGACGCAAATCTGGAGAGCACCGGACACCTCGGTCCTCGTCGCGCCGGCAGAAGCCCCCCCCCCCCTCCCCTCCTGTCGTCGTGATGGCCTGCCTGGCCTCGGACAGCACCGGGCAGGAATCGGCTACCCGACCTGGGATTTGAGGGGCGGTCCAAAGCCAGATCCCCCCCCCTCCTGGACCAAAGTGGTCCTGATTGCAGCGTCGTGGCCGTCGTTTTTCGTCATACAAGCCGCTGGAGAGCATCCCAGGCGAGAAAACCTCTGGAATCTTCCGAGGGCCTTCCTTGGAATCCGATGATGCGTAAAGAATACAACATCGTGAAAATCACAACTGAAGCCCCAACCCCATGTCTCTGCTGTGTGGCCGCCTTGGGCCATCACGCCCACCATGAGGCTATATCTCGCAGCATCTCGGCCCATGGCAGCAGCGGGCGCATCCTATGGAGACCAGCACAGCAAAACGCGACGAGGCGGAACTCCAGGCCGTGTCGTTGATGTCGCTAGTAGTTGGCTGGGGGCCGTCGCACTGGCCTGGGACATCGGCCACCCGCGCATGCGCGGCCAAGGCGAATGGCTGGGGAAAATGTCGCCCTCCTGGTAAGTCCTCTTGACCGAGCTTCCAAGCGCGCTTCGTGAGCCGCCGCCCGCAGCGAACCCTGAGGGCTGTACCTGAGAATATGGGACTGGCGCGGTTCCCCGTGGCCCGCCAAGTTCAGTAGGTCTACCATTCGTACGGCACGCCACTCCATCCACGAGTCGCGATCGCCCTGCGACTCGCCTCACAGGTCCCAGAGCCGCCTGGAGCTCCAGGTCGGCATGTCTTGTAAGACAGAATTCTGACCCTGGCTGGGTCTGGGAGGGGCAGCAGGTGTGAACCTGGCGGAGGCCGCCCCATAGCCTGGACTCCTCCCAAATCCCCATGGACCGAGCGGCCAACAATCTGGGACAAAAACTGGCTGCTGCCTTTGTCCTGGCCGCAGCTTCCGTTGCCGCTGCAATGACGGACTTTACTCTTGCACCACCTGGATCGAAGTCGTCGTCGTCGTCGCCGCCGTCGTCGTTGTCGTCGTCGTCGTCGTCGTCGTCGTCGTCGTCGTCGTCGTCGTCGTCGTCGTCGTCGTCGTCGTCGTCGTCGTCGTCGTCGTCGCCCTCTCCTGCCTGGATGAGGTCAGCAGGTGAAGGGGCAGCGGCAGCAGCAGGCTGACTGACTGCAGAAGCGCTGCTAGCCCCTTCAGCGGCCTTACGAGCAGGCTTCTCCTGAGAGGCGGTGCCGTCGTCTTTCCTTGGCCTCTTCGCTGCCAATCTCTGGCGCATCGCATCGGCTTGGTTGCGGAGCTGTTGGATGTTCCCTGCCGTGCGCCCGCTGGCGCCCACAATCGACTTCGGCACCTCAGTCTTGCTGCGGCTGTCGAGGTCATCCCACTTCTGGCGCTCAGAGTCTTGCACTCCCAGGAGCGATATGTCGAGCACGTCGCCGTCCACGATCTCGACCACGTCCTGGCTGCCCCCGCCACTGAGCAGCAACGATCTGTTGATCTGTGAGCCGACGTTCCCGATGGCGGACGCTCCCAGCGTGGCTGGCGCGCGAATGGGCCTTCGCCCCCGTGTTTTTTGAAGGGACCCTGAGACACACAAATAAATGCACCCAAACAAAAGGATTCCCGATATTTTCCCATATGTTCTGGGTTTTTGTCTTCCCGCCCAATTCCCATATTTTCCCATATTTTCTTGGGAATCGACGATTAATTAATTGTGTCTGTGTGTTTTTCCCCCTCCTGATTTTTGCGCAACCCCAACATCAGCTCGTCCTGTCACTCTTTGTTGCCGGGAGCCCCGCCGATGCCGCTCTGGCGGCCGCCTGCCTGCATTCTTCCCACCACGGCTGGGCGTTGGCCGAACTGGGTTTGGTGGAACCTGGTTTAGTGATTTGTACCGGGGGCGCCCCCCCGTCCCGTTCCCACTAACCGGAACTGCCGTCACCCGAAAAGCGCCAGTTACGGCAAACCTGTTTTTGTTGGTGAATCTGGCCAATTGAGGGGCCCCAGGGCCCTACCACTAATACCACTAACCGGGTCCCCTTACCTGGGGTCCTGGCTATACCCGACACGGGGCCGCATCATCTTTCTTTGAGGTACACACCTCCAAGTGTGCTTGCGCCATGTGCCTGGCACCCCCTTTGGCCGGATGGCGGCCTCGAGTGGCTGCTTTGTCGGTGTCGCTGCTGGGGCAATCTGGACCACCACCTCTTCCACGGCCTCGAGTTCGGCCGCTCCCTGGCTGCCCAGCTTCCCTTTTGAGCTGTTCCAAGAGCTGTGACATGCTGGCTGCCTGCT